CTATGCTGAACAGATGGCAGTAGTGTGTAAACGTCAAACGCAAGGGAATTGACTATGCGCGCCACAGGTGCCGGCACTACCAACTACGATACTTTTAAAGTGTCCGTTAAATGCTTGTTCGATGAACAACTTACGAGTGTTATGTCTGTTTGTCTGTGGTGATATTGTTATTCTTCTGAGTGGTTTAAGATGAATGTTATTTCAACATATCTAACATTTCTCCAAATTTGTGGTGAGTTTGAAATTAAATTATCGATAATGTATTTGTAATCTGATTTTGTATTGAATCATTGAATCATAAAAAAATGCCAGTTCCGGAAGGTAACATTGTTTGTTCAAGGTCTCGATTTATTTGTCTGAATCATACAATTTTGATGTTTTTTTAATGTTCCAGATATAACCCCCCTTATAGTGTTTTCCATGTCATATAACTTAGGATCTTCAACATTTTTCTTTGTCTCGAAATGAATATCTACTCAATTATTCTTCCTTTAAAACATTTCTTTTTAAGAAACCAAACAATTTCTCTCTTTTTTCATGTTCATAGTCTTATTTATTCTTGGTCCTTCATCTCGCAAATTTAGGCTTACAAGGCTTACAATATCAAAAGTTTTCTGTAATCTGCATTAGAAATGGAACCAAACCTAAAATTTCATCAATTTTGGTGCACTGGAACTATTTTAAATAAGAATGATTACATTTGCAAAAATCAACTTATTAGCGCCCCTCGGTGTCACTTTGTTTGGGAGCGAGCTGTCAGTTTGTCAGTTTAGTGTCAAACAGTGATGTTATTATTTTGCTTTAAATATTGATTTAAAAATCGTTATGAAAGTGTGTGGATTCGAAAAAAATATCGCTGTGCTCAGAAAACGAAGTTCTTTCAGATGATATATAAAAACTGATATATTTTTCAAAATTAAAGAACCCAATTCCGTTGGACTATTTCTCATAATTCGCTTGAGTAGAAACTGATCTAGCCTGAAAATCGTCATCTCAACATTTCCTCAGAGTGCGTGTATCTCACTAGCAACTTTACAATTGACTAACGCAGCAAATGCCTTTGGGAAGTTCATGTCGAAAGCTCATGTGTTCGTTTTTTTTTCAGGATCCAAAAGCTTGAAGAAAACTGCAATCCCTTCGAAAAATTTACCGCAGCTCGCTGAATTAGATATCAGCATTAACAAATACACCGTACTCAGGAAATCTTTCCGAAAGAAAACATTGTCACTGCAACTAGAAAACGACGAAACTTCTTCTATCTTATCAGCAACATCCAGTAAAGGGGCTGTAGCGTCAATTGATGAGCTAAGCAGTTCGCTAAATCAAACTAAGATTTCTGATATAATTGATTGCTCTTCTAACCTTGTGGAAGCTGCAGACACGAATGCAAACAAGGATGAAAACAACAATGTTACCAGACAGTGCGCAACATGTGGGCAGGATAATGTACTGAAAACACACCACACGACTGTGGGTATCACTTATAGCTCGAATAGTAAAGATCCGATTTTATCGGATATGCTCCTCACAAATGAAGCGCTGAACACTTGGACTGGCATACCCACAAATGAACTATTGGAAGAAATTTGTTTGGCGGCCAAGAAACTGGAGGAATGGGTGTACCCACGGAAGTTTGCCATGAACTGTACAGATCGAGTCATACTAGTAATGGTTAAACTGAAACAAAATCTAAGTTTTGCAGCCATCGGAATATTATTTGGAATCCATGCAGCTACAGTAACCAATTATTTTTCGCATACCGTCCAGATCTTGAGCAGCGTTCTACAAACATTTGTGTATATGCCATCCAAAGAAGAAATTCGGAAGAATATTCCCCTATGCTTCAGAGGGTTCTCCAATGTTACGATTATCTTGGACTGTACAGAAGTTCCGTTGGGTACACTTAAATGTTTGAATTGCCGAATAGCAACTTATTCACAGTACAAAAGTAGAAGAACAGCTAAGTTCTTGATTGGAGTTACACCTGCAGGACTTATTTCGTACCGCAGCAAGGCTTATGCAGGAAAATCTTCAGATAAATATATTTTCAACGCGGAAAAGCTGATTGACCAACTTTATCCTCATATTGACGAAGTGATGGTGGACAAGGGTTTTATGATCGAAAATGAATTGTCTGCCAAAGGGATTAAACTGCATAGACCTCCATTTATGAAGAACAATCGACTATCACCTTCAGAGGCGTACTTGAACGAAGCCATAGCAAAAGCTCGAGTTCACGTAGAACGTATAATGCAACGAATCAAAACCTTTGCGATATTACAAGACACGTTCGATGTGTGTATGCTGGGTTACATCAACGATATAATGTCTATAATCTGTGGGATAGTCAATTTGACAAACCCGATCCTGCGTGACGATAAATTTTAAGCTATGCACACCAACAACTTTCTCATTCATCATAACAATAGTAGGCTGCAGAAGGAATACAACAACAATATAAGAGTATTTAAAAACAACAAAAATCGTAAGATATTTATATTTCAATAATTCAATGTTTTTTTTTTCTTATCCACAGGTATACTTTGATAGTATTGCGCATTTGTCACCAAATTGGACAAAAGTGTAACCGTTAACCTCAAATCGTTTTGTTGTCTTCGGTGCAGCAAGAAATAAGTGCTGCGAAAACAACAAAATGATTTGACTTAAGCGTGCACTTTTATTATACTCTTTGTATTTTTGGAGCTGATCAGTTTTAGCTGCAACCAACAAGTGCTACAGTGAATAACAATCGGACTCCAGATGTTAACCAAGATTCCATCCAAAATATTCTACGCTATGATGACTGAACTGCAATTAGTAACAACGCGGCAGAACGCGAAGGTATCGGACTTGAAATCAATTTCTCTGGATCAAATTAAAGGAGTAATCAAGGTGAGATCAACAATTTGGATTGCTAATCGATGTTTTGAATCGAATCTTCTTTCTAGAAATCACAATCAATCGCAAATCAAACCAACACTACGATATGTACTTGGCGCAGTACAAATCGATTTACTCCTCAGATGTCAACGCCACGTTTTGTTGATGGTCGCTCGGATGGTCTTGGATGCTGGCGGTGAAAATCCTCAATAGTTGCAGATAATTGGTGGAACGTTGGGTGCTATATGCCCTGGAGGAAGCTCAATCAAAGGCGTACTATATGATTGCTTACAGTGCCATCTATCAACAAGGATGTGGAGAGGTTTAAAATGCATTCAACCAATGCATCTATAGTAAGTATCAAGGTAATGTCAGCTATTCACATTACGAATGTTTGTTCTGAATTAAATCTTTATTCTAGTAATTTAACGTGTCAATTGATCGCAAAGGGAGCCAGCACTGCGTGCAGATATCGGCGCTGTACAAATCAATTCTCTCCTTGCAAGACAACGTTGCTCTCTGTTCGTACTCACGGATGCAGACTTTCGGTGAGGATTCATGGTATTTGGTCCAGTGTATGACCAAGACATAGCCGATACGAACGCTGTAACGTTGGTCGGCTTCATCCTGATAGGATTTCAATTTGTCGAATAATCAGAGGCGGACTGAATCATTGCTGACTTTGTCATGTATCTACACCAATCGAAAAGCTACAGGACACTATGCTAGTATATCAGCCACGGAAATGAATTTTGAGTACAAGCCACAGTTCAATTACTAATCTACCGAAGATGAATATCGTATTTAAGACGTATTGTACAAATAAGTTGTTCAATAATTTTTAAACATTATTAATAGATTTTGAAACAAAAATTATATGCAAAAATCAAACAAATGTTTAGCGGTGGTTTTGTAGGTAAGTATGCGTAAATTAATAGTATAAGGAATAAAAATTTAAGCGTTTCGTTTTTTTTTCACTTCAATAGGCCTGATGGAATCCCAATATATTTTGTTTGCACTGTGTGGGTTGTTTGGACAACATAGTATATGTTTTTTATTTAAAATTAATACATTTTATTTTGTTTCTTATTGAACATGAGCTTTCAATGTAACATAAATTCTCACTTGTCACTTGGTTTCAATTTACACGGACAAACACAAATCTTAAGTGCTGATTTGAGGTGTGTCGTGAGTAACCAAACTTGGCAACATACGTGTAAAATATAACCCCTTTAATCCATTGACTACATTTTCAACGAATAATTTATCAAACTCAACTAAAATCAATAAAAAGTCGTCTTCCAAGACAGAATACAGCACAAAATCACAACTTTGACTGTTTAGAACCCACATGTTTAATTGAACCTGACAGTAATATGAATGATTGTTGTTCAGCTTTAGTTGGCCAGTTGCTGGACAGCGTCTAACATATTTTTTAACGGTTGCGTTGTTCTCAATGTCTACTACTGTCCCTAATTCTCCTGCTACAGGGCATTTGATCTCAAGGATGACGTTGCCCAACGGGTCAACACCATCTGGTGATGCAGCAAACCAGTTTTCACCAGGCTTTACTACCAATCCACACTTTTTAATCAATGGATTACGCTTCCGCTTATAACATGCGTAGGCTTTTGGCTCATTATCCTTCCCATACTTAATGGCAGCAGTTTTAATACTCGACATGCTCCAATAGCGGCTGATTTTTCTGTCCCAGTTAGGTTCAGCGTTGAAAAGATACGTATATAATTGATAACACGAGCTGGCGGTGATCCGAATAGATCTCTGTATCCTCCAATAGTTGGTTGTCTGCTCTTGAGTATCTACTGCTATTTCTATGATTCGCTTCAAATCAGCCTCCACGTTTTCACAGTACCAGGTCTTCTCAACAACTGATTCAAATGGAGCTTCGGATATCAAAACATCCGAATATCCATTTAACAGAGATCTCAACTCATCTTTTGCACAGAATTCGTCTCCATTACCACGACATTGCACAGCTCGATTTGGATCTACTGAAGGAATGTTAAGATGCCTTCCCAACTGATGTTTACTGATGGCAGATTCTTTGGCCACTGTAAAAAGAAACAATATTGAACCCCATGAGCATATAATATTTTTTTTCAGTTACCCTTTAAAATCCGGTGGAATGATTCCATCAGTATGTTATTTTCCATAGTCTTATCCGTAGGCATTATTTTCTTTGGGTGGTTCACACAGCAGAGGTCGTCAGTCCGTTTTGCACCCCAAGGAGCTGTCCTTTCACTTTTTGTGATTCCCCATGCCTGAACTGTGTCGGTGCACGACAAATACGACGCGTTTCCCGATCTAAATATATTGAATATACTTTCAAATTATTGAGTACTAGTAATTGCAGAAATACAAAAATTACCGATTTAGCGTCAGCATAGACGCGATAATATGTTTGCAACGAGAAGTTCCTGCTTTGCAGGAGCAAATACACACCCACTTTGATACATCCGCTGATATGGTTAGACTCGTTTTGTGTGGAATTTGGCCAGGATGTGATGATTGCAGAACATAGCCACAGTAAGTTACAGCGCAATCTGCTTTTTCTGTATATCCTATACAGACAACGTGCCCTGCATCAAACACAGCGCAACCTTCACGAATTGGCCGGACACTATCTCCAACATAATCGAGAATATCAACTAACGTGATATTAACTCTAATATCGTCCCTACAGTCATCTGAAACTAATCCGGAAGTGAACTTTTGTAATTTGATAACAGCGCGTTTTCAAAACAATAAATTTATCACAAATTTGTATTATACCAACAAAGGAAATGCATCCATTTACTTCAATCATGTTTTTCCTACCTGCATTTGCCATTTTTTACTCCAAATGAACTTTATTTAATTGAAAATAAATGATTTTGTAATTGCGTCCATTCACTCTCAAGAGGAATTCAAACGAACATCATCCATGTACTAGTTCATATTCCCACGCATAGAGTTCGCATGTGTTGTCATAGTTTTGCTGCAAGATGCCAATTGTGTCACCTATGTATTAGGCGCCTAGGACTCACACCGCTTGCATTCACTCACACAGCACCTAATTGATGAATCTACGTTATGGTCGGCCAGCAGATGGAAATGATGTGAAAATGATAATGACGTTTTGCTAGCTGTCAAATCGTATGGAATATTTTTTAGTACATCATCACTTTTGTGGTTTTAGATTTCAAACCTAGGTGTCGCACTGGTGCAGTTTCGCGTAGATTCATCAATTGAGGCATTTTTCCATAGAAAATGTACGCTTAGTCTTTGAAAACTACTTGTCCAACGCTGCACTGGGTAATTTCCAAGATTTGGAAGGAGGAGATATTACCGGAGGAGTGGATGGAAGGTGTCGTATGTCCAATCTACATAAAGGGTGACAATATCAATATCAGGCGGGATTCATGGGTGCCCGCGCTACCACGGACCAAATTTTCGCGATTCGGCAGGTTCTGCAGAAATGCAGCGAATACAACGTGCCCACACATCATTTGTTCATCGATTTCAAATCCGCATACGACACAATTGATCGAGATCAGCTATGGCAGATTATGCACGAGTACGGATTTCCGGATAAACTAACGCGATTGGTCAAGGCGACGAGGGATCGAGTGATGTGCGTCGTTCGAGAATCGGGGACACTATCGAGTCCCTTTGAATCTCGAATGGGGTTACGGCAAGGAGATGGACTTTCGTGTCTGCTGTTCAACATCGCGTTAGAAGGTGTGATCAGAAGAGCTGGGATAGACACGAGTGGCACGATATTCAGGAAGTCCATCCAGCTCCTTGGCTTCGCCGATGACATTGAAATTATGGCACGGGACTTTGAGATGATGGCGGAAACGTACATCAGACTGAAGGCTGAAGCTAGACGGATTGGACTTGTCATCAACGCATCAAAGACAAAATACATGAAAGTAAGAGGTTCTAGGGAAGACAATGTTAGCCTCCCACCCCGAGTTCAGATTGACGTTTTTCGAAGAGTTCGTGTATTTGGGCTCACTGGTGACCGCCGAAAATGATACCAGCAGATAAATTCAAAGACGCATTATGGCAGGGAATCGTGCCTACTTTGGACTAAGGAGGACGCTCCGGTCGAATAAAATTCGCCGCCGCACGAAGTTGACTGTCTACAAGACGCTGATTAGACCGGTGGTCCTCTACGGCCACGAGACCTGGACTATGCTCGTGGAGGACCAACGCGCCCTTGGTGCTTTCGAACGGAAGGTGTTGCGTACCATCTACGGTGGAGTGCAGATGGATGACGGAACGTGGAATAGGCGAATGAACCGAGGGGGGTGACTCTATCTACGATGAACGAAAAATTGTTTTTTGCTGTGGTTAGCTGCGCGCACGCTGAGTAGATAGCAAGAAGATTTATGACGATTCTGAAGATTTCTTGCAAAAAGATGATGCACGATGCAAGTAGATGCGAGAAATTAAAGAAGATTTTTCGAAGATTGATTCGCTAGTGTGAGATTTGTTGAGCACCTAGAATTGAGATTTAGATGTGTCGTCCCCCTCGGAATGAACCACGAATTGCACCAGCTGCTGGGAGAACCATCCATCATCCACATTTAAAAATTGGGCGACTACGGTGGGCTGGGCACGTCGTAAGAATGCCGCACGACGACCCAGTGAAAATGGTTCTAGAATGCAACCCAACAGGAACAAGAAGAAGAGGCGCGCAGCGGGAAGGGTGGATCGACCAAGTAGAAGGTGACATGCGGACCCTTCGCAGACTAGAGGCTGGCGAACAGTGGCCATGGATCGAGTAGAGTGGAGACAACTTCTTCCGAGAACAGAGGACAACAAGGCCTTAGCCTGATTGGTAAGGTAAGTACTTGTCCAACGCCCCCAGCAGGGTGCCCCTACCCCCATGAGGATGGCACATACACAAGTCATAAACTGGTCACTTCACCGGGGGTACCTGAAACATGGCCGGCTGTGGCCAATGTGGTCCTGTGCACTCCATATGATCATCTTGTTTTAGGATTTGATTTTCATGTATTTTTATGAGTCGTATGATTTGTTTGGCATGTTTCAGGACAGTTTTAGCACAAACGAAGTTACAGACGACTAACTGGCGAAGAAATCCATTAAAATAATGTGGTTCACTGTAATAGAATTTTCTTGGAAGCTTGTGCCATCATCCACCAGATGGGTTAATTATTTTTGTTTTGATTTGAACAAAGTTGATTTTGTATACAATGATTCTTTGACAGTGTGCAAAGAGTGTGTATCATTTTGTCATTTTTTTATGCATTTCAGTTTTGAGTAGAGTGAATGAGATAGAACCAAAACATTCTAGTACATTTGGTGAAAATGCTAGTTCAATCTAATAGTAGTGTTGCCATGTGGTACAATCCAGTAGTAGTGGTGTTGCCATGTGGTACACTGAAAAATTGAAATAGCAGGTTAGTCACCAAAGTTTTCGAGCCGCTCCGTCTGTCACTTCGTTTGTGGTTTTAGTCTTAAGGTCCGTATTCAGTGGAACATGTTCCGGCCATATCTTCGCTAGCAGTTGACTGAATTTCAAAAATATTTAATATCGTCCTATGTGACCATGTTACCAACAATGAATACGAAACTATCGATTTTAAATTGGCTCACTACTTGACTAGCCTATTGGTCCCAAGCAAATCGATTAACGTATCCCATTCTAGTCAAAATTCTAGCACTACACAATGTTTGTTTTGATTTGCTATGAAAGTTTGACAGATAAAATGAGGGGTTCGTGGATTTTCCTATGTTTCGAGGGGTGCATCGATGGAACCGAAGATAGTACCAGAGCTGTGCCAAAAAGTTGAGTACGTTCCTGCGGGACCTACTAGTCTTAGAGCTACCTCTATGATGTTACCTTCCATTTGGACATCTTCCGATCTCGGCAGTAAGTTTTACTGATATCTCAGCAAAAGTAATGTTTGGCTGCTGCCGAGTTTCGAAACATGTTTCGTTGAATCTCAGCTAGTAAACGTCATTTTTGCGGAGATCTCAGTAAAACTTGCTGCCGATCTGCTCGACGGTGCCAGAATTACCGAGATTCAGTAAAGAAATTGGGAAGTGTACGAGAAATCGGGGATTGAAGTCATTGTTTACAAAACCAGCTACGCGTAAATCTCAGAACAGTACGGAATTTGATTTACCAACATCCGAAATTTCAGACATGCAGAACTCTGCACGTGAATTCCCAAGAAGGCAATCGAGATACGCTTTCCCTGGAGGACCCAATAACTTCTTACGGTAGTCCTTTGAAAATTGTTTGGCCATTTTTTGAGCTGTCTCAAGGCCTATACATAGTCAGAATTGGGTTTGCAGATTATGCTACATTTCCAAGGATTTGTTGTTTAATGTTCTGTTTGTGGTTAAAATATTCCAAAGTTTTCTATCGAAGCTTATCGCAATGTTCAAAGATTTCTTTGGAATGGAGCCTGAAAATGAATTCATATAAATAACATTAATGGAAGACTTCCGAACTTTTCCTCCTAGTGTTAATAATGTGATTTAAAAATGACCTTGTAAAATGAGCTTCCCTAATAAACGAACGATAACACGAATAGTAAAATTATTCTACAAACATTCTGGATGGTATCCCGACCGCCAGTATCCCAAGCACTTTTTATGGTACTTTTCTATCAGGGTTATGAATCTTAATATAGACAGAGTTTCAGATTCCTTGATGAGATAAATGACACATCCTACCTGAAATCTCAATCAGTTGGTTATAAGATTATAACAGTAGTTTGATATGTCTGTGGAACTATTTATCAATGACTTGAGCCCTGTAAAGTATCAATCAAATAATTCAAATCCAAGCATCGATTATCGAATCCAGGACTGTCTGTTTGCATAAATTTATGATTCAATACGCTCCAAACGATACTAATAGGATTCATTCAATTTTAAAACCGAGCGTGTTACAAGCCGTTGAACCGAAATCAACGAGCTGTATTGATTAATATCTATTTTAACGCGACCGAAAGCGTCTCAAATTCAAGCGCAAACCCTTTCAGTCCATACACGTGCGGGAAGTCAATTCGCTGAAGAATCAAAATTCAAAAGCAAGCAACAGCAAAACAACAGTCCAAACTTGAAATGGTAAATGGTGAAAAGGATAATTAGCACTACCGCCACCGGCACACAATACACACACACACACACCACCGTCGTGCACTCGCTCAAGGACTCGAAGTGGTTCGGTTTGGTGGAAACCCGCTACAGTCAAGATTCCTGCTTCGGGGAGTTTTAATACCTGCCTACTGAAATCGCAACACCTTTGCATGGCGAGGTAAAGCTAAGGCATTCAATGGAGACGCTTGGTCTATTATCAACAGTTTGACTTTCAACACGGCAAAGTTGAATATTCCTATCAATCGCGCAATAGGAATCTGCAGAGCGTAATAGGAATCCTAACTGTACATATGGAGGAGACACCCCAGAGGTAGTTCTGTGTCGGAAGCATTTAAGTGATGGCTCCACCAACGATGGTCGTCATCGTCATCGGTCGGGGTGCACTTGAACCCCCGAAAACTGAACATTCCCGAGTGGTGCGGTGGCGTGGTGGCGGATGAGGCCAGCTCTGTGTCAAGTACCCCGCGGTTCGCGAACAATGCAAATTAGAGGCTCCGCAAATGTGCCCACCGATGGGCTATCGTTAGTCGGTTCGAAACCAACGAGAGCGAAAGTCGCGGAAATAGTTCAGTGGGTGCCTGATTGGTTGGAGCTTTTAACGAGTTCGCGTGTGTGCCGTAGAAGATTTACTTACTGGCAGGATGAGTCGACCGCCAAGATTCAAAATTCCTTCGGTAATTGATGTTAATGGAGTATGCACGT